TTCCCCTTTATTAAAGACAACAAAACAGACAGACACATTCAACAAATACAACAAACAAACAAGTATATAAATATATGCATTTGAATGTCATTAATGTTTTTGTTATATGTCTCTTGCGTTTCAATGCAGATTGAAGAAAAAAATATCGAAATAATATCGTTATCGCAATACTAAACACTCATATCAAAAATCTATATTTTCCAATATCGTGCAGCCCTACTATATATCTATGTATCTGTTTGTAGCCATCTTTCTGTGTCTATCTATCTATGTATGTGTCTATCTATTAGGGGTGGACAATATGGCCTAAAATTCATATTGTGGTATAATTTGGGACACAGACGGTAGACGGTATATATTGCGGTATAATTTGTTGTGTGAATTTCAATATAGGTCCAGCAGGTTCTTGAATGAAATAGTCAAGATTGTTACTTATTTAAATGTATTGTGCAAAACTGCAATTATAGAGAACATTACAAGTTTAACTTCCAAGCAGTATTGCTGAGTTGCAACCACGTGACCAAAAGGGGGCGGGGCATGGGTCCGTAGGACAGGAAGTATTATTCTCCTAATAAATAGAATGGGCAATGCTGGAAAACGCAGACATAGGAGCTTTTCGCGGCTTAGTATCACGCTTATTATGAGTGAAAACTATTTTTAATGCAGTGTACGCTTTGTAATGTTTGAATGAGTCAAATTTTTTCAACAATGAGAAAGATTAAGGTTGTTATAGTGACAACAGTGGAGTCACTCTGGTATCAACAGAAAAACGTCTGAGATTATAGTTCTGATCCATAATACAACAAATAGGGCACAAATGTTACTTTAGACAACATTTGAGGCGAGAAATATGACCCTTTATTGTCATTTCGGTGATTTGTTGAGCTGTAAATAACAAAAAGTACGGAGCTGACAACGTTAAGCTAACAGCAGTAAGCTAACAACGTTAAGCTAACAGCAGTAAGCTAACAGCGGGGGCTGCAATTAGAAAATGTATTTAACAGTTCTTTCTTTCTGTTGCCTTGGTTACTACAACCGTATGCCATACAAAAAGACTGCATTGTGTTTATGAAACTAAGCGAAGTAAAGACTGCGGACTGTCTGCTGTGTCTGCGGCCGCAGATGCTACGCAGGCCAATGCTAATGCTAGCGCATTTCTCCCGTTCCTTATTAGGCATTTTCCTAAAAATTGACACCCGTTAGAGAAATATTTTTTAGCAAAGTAGAAACTCCATAAGTTCTCCACTTTATATGAGCAGTTGCCACAACTGCACACGTCACAGAAAAAGAGCATTTTAACTCTGAATCAGTGAATGTTTACATTGTTCTTAGCGGGGAAATGTACTTCCTGTCCCTTGGAGCACTTTCGTCACGTGCAACCCAGCAATTTGATGACGTAATGACCTATTGCAATATGCCGGTATAACAAAAATCTCTACTGTTGGCCAAATATACATCGCTTATACCGTTTATATCGCCCAGCCCTACTATCTATGTATCTATCTATCTATAGTAAGTAAGTAAGTAAGTAATCTTTATTTATATACCGCCTTTCACAGACCAGAGTCACAAAGCGGTTTACAGTTGTTATTTTTTGGGCACTTGTCCTCTCACTCCACACAGAGATGGGAGCGGGGTCGCCAAACAGGAGGCGCATGCCAGACCTATTGTACATATTTTTAGTGGTAGGGGAAACCGGAGTACCCGGAGTACCCGGAGGATACCTATGTATCTATAACGTAAAAACAAATGCATTCATTTGGCCCTGACCAGCTCCGATTGTTGTTTTTCTGCTCAGCCAGAGTCGGCTCCTTCCATCGAAGACGGAGCAGTACCAGGCCAGACCAGGCATCCCGCCAACGTGTTCTTAGAAAGTATTCAATTTGATCAAAACGGACAGAATGGATTTAGGAAATGTGCCAAGGCATTGACCCCACACCACTTTTCAGGGTCTTCTTGAAGGTATAAATAATGCACCGTAACAGAACACTCAGAAAATTAAGGCTGCACATCGACCGTAAGACTTCTCCGAAAAAAAGATTGGTTAATAATGAAGTGAAGAATTTATAAAATCTCCACTTTTCAGCACTTTAACTAACTTTAAATGAATCTAATTATTGTAAAATGTATCTTTGAAAACATGTCAAAACAATTAAAGCAGCAGTATGTAAAAATGTGGCCAAAGTTGGTACTGCGGCCTCTCCCACTCTCCCTGACTCAGGTTGCCAGATATGCAGACGAATCCAGCTGGGACCATAACAGCTGAATAGACAAGAGTTTTGTCAACAACAAATCTATAACCAACACCTTTTTATTCCTTGTTTTGTCGTTAATGATTTGAGAATCATAACGAGACCTTCTTTAGTTTTGCGCCACATGGTACTTTACCAGTGAGATTCGCTCGATGCGGTGAGTATGGCGCCCGGATCACAGACTTTCTGATTAGTGAAACGGTGGAGGGCGGGACATCGAAATGAAAACAATAACAAGATTTAGTGGCTGTAAAACTAATTTAGAAACTCAAATATCTCAGAACTACTGTTATCCGATAAAGAAGTATTGGAAAAGAGCAGTTTATTATTATGATAGAGTAGGGCCCTTTAATGATGACAGATTAGGGCCCTTTAATGATGACTTGACATGAAAATCTTCCATATTGCTGCTTTAAAACATAATTTTAACAATATGGATATGGAAAAGTTATTGACACGGCAAAACCATTCATCATTTTTATTTTATTTTTTTTACTCCTGAGGACTTCAAATCGAGACTGATGCGATAGTATTCAGCCGTTAACTATGGATTTTGATCAGTCACAAAATTCTATAGATGTCGCTTATGTAGCAGCAGAGATGGTAAACAGGCTAGGAGCGGGGGCTATGACCGGGGGCTATGACCAGGGGCTATGACCAGGGGCTATGACCAGGGGCTATGACCAGGGACTATGACCAGGGGCTATGGCTGGGACCAAGGGCTAGGGACCAGGGGCTAGGGACCAGGGGCTATGGCTGGGACCAGCGGCTTGGGGCACGAACCAGGGGCTCGGAACCAGGGGCTAGGAACCAGGGGCTAGGAACCAGGGGCTAGGAACCAGGGGCTAGGAACCAGGGGCTAGGAACCAGGGGCTAGGAACCAGGGGCTAGGAACCAGGGGCTAGGAACCAGGGGCTAGGAACCAGGGGCTAGGAACCAGGGGCTAGGAACCAGGGGCTAGGAACCAGGGGCTAGGAACCAGGGGCTAGGAACCAGGGGCTAGGAACCAGGGGCTAGGAACCAGGGGCTAGGAACCAGGGGCTAGGAACCAGGGGCTAGGAACCAGTAAGTAAGTAAGTAAGCTTTATTTATATACCGCCTTTCACAGACCAGAGTCACAAAGCGGTTTACAATTGTTATTTTTTTTTTTTTTGGGCACTTGTCTCTCACTCCACACAGAGATGGGAGCGGGGTCGCCGAACAGGAGGCACATGCCAGACCTATTGTACATATTTTTAGTGGTAGGGGAAACCGGAGTACCCGGAGGAAACCTACGCAGACACAGGGAGAACATGCAAACTCCACTCAGAAAGGCCCTGGTCCGGCCGGGATTCGAACCCAGGACCTTCTTGCTGAGAGGCCAGGGGCTAGGAACCAGGGGCTAGGAACCAGGGGCTAGGAACCAGGGGCTCGGGACCAGGGGCTCGGGACCAGGGGCTCGGGACCAGGGGCTCGGGACCAGGGGCTCGGGACCAGGGGCTCGGGACCAGGGGCTCGGGACCAGGGGCTCGGGACCAGGGGCTCGGGACCAGGGGCTCGGGACCAGGGGCTCGGGACCAGGGGCTCGGGACCAGGGGCTCGGGACCAGGGGCTCGGGACCAGGGGCTCGGGACCAGGGGCTAGGGACCAGGGGCTAGGGACCAGGGGCTAGGGACCAGGGGCTAGGGACCAGGGGCTAGGGACCAGGGGCTAGGGACCAGGGGCTAGGGACCAGGGGCTAGGGACCAGGGGCTAGGGACCAGGGGCTAGGGACCAGGGGCTAGGGACCAGGGGCTAGGGACCAGGGGCTAGGGACCAGGGGCTAGGGACCAGGGGCTAGGGACCAGGGGCTAGGACCGGGAGCCAGACATGGGGCTAGGAGCGGGGGCTAAGACCAGTGACTAGGACCAGTAGGACCAACAACAAGCACTGCAGACTATAACCTCCAAACAGATCCACAGAAAACACTAAAGCTGACAGCTACCATGCAAGTTTATTTGTATAGCACAGTTCAGACACAAAGCAACTCAAATACGTAAGAAAACAGGATAGAAACAAATCACACAAGGCATTCAAATCTTAAACAATCACAGTACATAAAATATAAGTGATACAATCCTTGTTATTCCAGCGAATAAGACACTATTTTCAACCTGGATTTGAACATGGTCAGAGAGGAAGCCTGTCTCACATTTTCAGGAAGATTTTAGTAGCATAAATGTCAAACGTTGCCTCTTAATGTTTAGTCCTGACTCTGGGACCAGCAATTTACTGCAACCTCAGCCCCAGGCACCAAACAAGTCCCTCCAACAGACTCCATGCTGTTAGCCTGGACTCACACCTGGATTATTATCAGAAGTGGATCATTCTTCTTCTACGGCTGCACGGACCAGTCAAGCGGCGGTGACAGCGGAAGAATGTGGATTTATTGTGGAATAAAAATAATACTGTGACACAAAGGACGCTCAGTGACGTTTCCAAAAAGGGGTACAACAGCAGTGCATAACTTTGAAAAGCGAACACACTCGATCCGTCGCGCGTAATGCTGCAACATATACAAGCCATGTCAGTCCAAAACAACAATCTTTACATGATTAACCTGACTCCAGTCTGTGGGAAAGACTCGATAAGTGCAGAACAAGCTCTGAAAGGGGGGGAAATATAGGCGGAGGCTGAAGGTTCGACAAACGAAACGCAGCCAAAAGCGCCTTTACGCAAACACCAGCAGAGCCACGGGGAGAAATGTGAGAGTCCGAAGCGCCATCTTACCTTCCAGGAGCCGGGAAATCAGCGAGTCCACGTCCAACTCCCCCTCCGCCATGGCTGTGTGTGTCTGAGGCGTAGGGCAGACACTAAGAGCAGGGAGAGAGCAGACAAGCCCGGGCCGCCTGTGTGGACTCACGGCCCGCCCACTGACGTGCCAGCGCCGCGCTCTGACCGTGGAACTATATTTAATACATGATTTTCTTACGACTGTCTTATTCTAGAAAGTATTTTATTTATTTTTTTAGTTTTCTTACAACTGTGTTTTCTGTCACCACACACACACTGTATTCGATGTTTGGCTACTGTGGTACGTTATTGTTTTGAAAAAATAATAAAAAAATAAAAGAATTATTTTCCTCCGAAAAAAAATAAAATAAAAATAAAACATTAATTACTAGAATTCCCAAAGCAGTCCATTTGACGGCTTTTCGTTTTGGAAGTTTACGTCTGTTTTATGTCTTCAAAACTTTGTGGCTTTTTCTGTTTCTATATGTAGTTTATATTTTTGTTATTTATGTTTATGAAATCATCTCGATCCTTGCTAGACTGGTTCTAGAATGGAGCGAGTGCTAGTTACCATAGCAACACACAGCTGCCGGAGTTTACGTATGAAAATAAACACGTTTATTAAAAACAGTAAAAAATTAAAATCTTTTTTTGAAGGGATTATTTTTAGAATTTCCGCCTTTTCTACGCAATTATTTTAATAAAATTATATTTTATTTTTGACACGTAAGAAATTAGCTACCATAGTTACCATAGCAACAAACTGTTTACTAGCCAGCAGTTAGCATTTTATAGCCTTTTGTACATTTATCCATTGTGTGATTAATAAAGTTTGTTTTAGTGTTGCTGTGTTTTAAGTTGTATACACCAGCATAGACACATATATATGTCTGTTTACACCAGTCTTAGCTCTTTAAAGTTAAGTTTTTAGCTGCTTTTGTTGTTAGCTGCCTAGTGGATTTTGTTCAACCACTAATGGACATATTTAACTTTTCAACAGGTGTGGAAAACAGCTCGTCATGCCTTTACAGTACAATAAGTAGGAACAACAAATAATGTCAATAATTTCTGCCCCTTTGCCTTTTCAGCAAACAATATGGAAACGTCTTATGCAAGTGCGCCCTCTGCTGGTCAGGCCATGGTCAAACTGCAGACATTTTTATAGCATTCATTTTTTTTAGATATAGATCCAACAAAATAATTGCTCTTATAAAATAAACCCACAGGCAAAATGCCAGGTAGACTCATAGGTACTCATGTAAGTACCTTTGGGATTGGCTAGATGATGAAAAAAATAATCTGTAAAAACTAAGAATGGTGTAATAGTTGAAAGTCAAGGCTATAATTAATTTACAAAATATAGTGGACTTGGAATAGTTTAATAGATAACCAAGATGTTCCCAGAGTTAGGACTAAACATGGGGAGGCAGATTCATTCAGTTAAAATCTGGAACAGTCTTCCTGAAAATGTGAGACGCAGACTTCCACTCTGACAATGTTCAATTCCAAGTTAAAAACAGTTCTATTTATTTGTGAGTACAACTGAAGGATTCTATCTTCACTCTTTTGAATGTACCGTTATTATTCAAGATTTTAAGGGAGAGCCCTGTGAATCAAAGAGTGACTAACAGGGCTGGGTATATTTTTGCCTCACTTGACTTTTATCGACATTGCTGTGTGTGTACTCCTTGTATTTGTATTTTTGTATTTCATTTTTTTACATCATTAAAGGTATATAGGATTTTCTACTTCTGGGTGGATCATCAAGACTATTGGTCCTCCCAATTGTCAATCCTTCTGGACATTCAGACAAGAGAGATTTCTTCAAAAAGTGGAGAGGGCGGTTCTTTCCTAAAATTTGGGAAAATCCTCCTTAAGGTATTTTGACAAAGATTTCACTAAGAGATTGGACATTCATTTCTGTGCCTCTTTTTTCTCATCTTTTTGTCTGAGACTGGTGATTTTGGTAAAACTTCCCTTTACTCAACTGAGGATTACAGGGGAAGAAACTAGAAACGGGCTAGAAACAACATCATTTTTGCTGATGAAAGTAGACAGTCCAATCTGGTTTTGGATTTCAGATAGTCATAGTACACAATATTCTGTGGGTCTATATGGGTCTATATTCTGGCAAAATGGGAGTACTTGTTCTGAAATAGGCTGGCATGCAATTTTTTTAATGTACTGTGATTACTTATGATTTTAATGCCATCTTATTTTGTTCAGCAAAACAAACTTGTGAGTTGCCTTGTGTATGAATTGTGCTATACAAATAAACTTGCCTTGCCTTGCCACTTTGCTTTACTCAATGTCTTTTCCCTGAAATCCTTTTTAAGACTGACCTCCAGTGACGGCCTCACAGTAACGGTGAGTGTGTTCCATTTCTCAACCATTCTGAGAAACACATTATTGGAAGTGTTTTAAAACAGGAAGTAAGTTATGAAGTATTTAAGACTGGACCCTCTCTCTCTCTCTCTGCAGTATTAGATTCACCATCGCCATGGAGACAAGACCCCACGGCTCAGTGCTGCTGCTGATCTGTAAGTTTAATATAATAATACAAAACATTAACAAGAATATATGTAAAAGAAGCAAGTATAAAATCTCTATCTTTAGTATAAGATTGGCTTCTTTATTATGCTAAAGCTAGATATTTTATGCTAGCTTCTTTATTATGCTAAAGTTAGAGATATTATACTAGCTTCATTATTATGCTAAATCTAGAGATTTTATTTTATTTATTCGTTTTTGATTGATTTTGAATTTATTTTTTTCATTTTATTTAGTATAGAGCAGCCATTCCCAAAGTCAGTAACCCCTTAAAAATCTGACGGGTCTGCGGGCCCCCCCAAAATACTAACCAAGCAGACAACCAAGGCTCTTCTCGTTATTTTATTTTGGGGAAAAAGCCTCTGCATCAAATAGTCTCTGCATCAAACGTATGCATGTAAATGACGCACCCCATTTTGTAATACAAAAATGATTACAATTTGATTTTTCAAGTCAAATAATGAACACAAGTATTATTAATTTAACATACAATAATTAAATAAAACTGCAATACCCTCGCGAGCCCCACTTTCTATGTCATGCATGTGTTCCCTGTGTGCTCCTCATTCCCACTGCTGTTACCGCTAATGCAGTACTGACATTTCTCCGCTGTGGGGCGCTGTAGCAATTTAGCACGATGCAAAACCACATTGAATTGAATATTTTTGGGGGATTTTTTTTTCAGGTCTCACCATTGGAGGGCCATTCACCAGAGCTGGACAAGTCATCCAAGTCAAGGAAGGACAAGATCTACAATTCAACTGTTACTTTCAGGAAGACTCGTTCGTAAGGATATTCTGTAAAAATCATTGTGAGGAGTCGGGCGAACATTTGATAAGAACTTACTCCTTCGAAGACTGGGCCAGCGAGGGCAGATACCGGCTGGAGTGGGAGAAGGAGTCTTCATCCCACTATGTGATGCGGGTTTTCATCCAAAACATGCAAAAGTCTGACACTGGGTCCTACAGCTGTTTACTGTACGACTGGACAATGGACATGACAGTTCCTGTTCCTACAATCAGGGATGTCGAGATTTATGTCATCAGTGGTAAATCCAAACTCACTCCCCCTCTCTCTCTCCCTGGTCTCACTCTCTCTGGTGTCTCGCTCTCTTTGGTCTCTGTGTCATTCTCTGTCTCTGTTTCTGTCTCTCTCTGTCTCTCTCTCTCTGAAAAAAAGTCAAAATAGGCTCAAATTTGGCAAAATGTGTCTTCATCTGAGCTCATTGTGACTGAGCCGTAAAACTATAGATTCTCCAGTGGGACAAAACAAAATGATCTTGTTTTAAAAAGATACAAAAATATGTCGCTTGGAATGAGAAAATAAAACGGTTCTTGAAATAAAACTAAATATCTTTGCCCCTGTCAGAATGAAACTCAGATTAAGATAAAAACACACGATTCAAGCATTTATTACCTCATAATGATCATTTTTTTCACTGTTCGCTCAAATGTCTGTTTATGACAATGATTTTGTCTTTAATCCTTCCTCCAGCTGATAGTTCTGGATCTGATGCAGTGATTTTGAAGCCCTCCAGTGAATCCAAACAGGGCTCAAAAGGTAACGCTACACAACCCTCGCTACAAGGCCAGTTTATTTGTATAGCACAGTTCATACACACCTGGATTCTACTCAAACATGTTAGAACGAACCTAGATGAGTTTGGAAACTAGCAAAACACATTCATCCATTCTTACATTCAGTCAGATGGGACACAACACAATCATAGACTGTGACACAACCAAAGACTGTGACACAACCATAGACTGTGACACAACCATAGACTGTAACACAAGAAAAAAACAGATTGGGCTGAAGCTACTGCTAATGTTAGCCCGTCCTGAGGTCAACAACTGGTCTCTCTCTCTAGTGTCACTGGTCTCTCTCTGGTATCTCTTGGGTCTCTTTTTCTCTCCCTCTCTAATCACTCTCTGGTCTCCCTCTGGTCCCTCTTTCTCTTTAGTCACTCTGGCCCCTCTCTCTCTCTCTCTCTCTGGTCTTTCTCTCTGGTGTCTCTCTCTGCTCTCTTTTTCTCTCTCTGGTCTCTCCATGGTCTATCCATGGTCTCTCTCTGGTCTCTCTCTGGTCTCTCCCTGGTCTCTCTCTGGTCTCTCCCTGGTCTCTCTCTGGTCTCTCCCTGGTCTCTCTCTGGTCTCTCCCTGGTCTCTCTCTGGTCTCTCCCTGGTCTCTCTCTGGTCTCTCTCTGGTCTCTCTCTGGTCTCTCTCTGGTCTCTCTCTGGTCTCTCTCTGGTCTCTAACCCTCTGCTGTTATAAATATTAATAATAAAAAGAATGCATTGGTTTTATATAACGCTTTTTTGGACACTCAAAGACACTCCATACACGGTGTTGATGAACTACTACTGTAGCCACAGCTGCCCTGGGGCACTGACAGAAGCAAGGCAACCAGTCTGTGCCATCGGCCCCTCCGACCATCACCAACCATTCCCACACACACCAGACTCATTCTAAGTAATATTATATGTAAACAGTGAATATAGGTAAGTTTTTAGGATAATATTGAAAATGTGAATGTAGTGCAGAAAGGTTGGGCCTTTAGCAATAGCTATAAACATTTTTTGCATCGCATCAGCTACAAGCTTTTTTTGTTCTTTGTTGACTTTCATTGTCCCTTCAAATAAATGAAAATAAATAAATAATAATAACATATAAAATGCGGATTTTTTGTTCTATTATTTTTTATTTATTTAGACTGACAGATTATACATTATAGAATTAAGTTTAGCTGAGTATAAATCCTAAATGAATCAAAATGAGTACAAATGAATTGCATTGCTTCTTTCTCTCATGACAAAATAAAGGCAGTAAACTATATAATTGTCACGTCACACATGTAAAGGACATACGTGTCACAAAGAGACAGTCACATCATAGTCATAACATGGAGTCCTTGTAGAGTCCTTGTAGAGTCCTGCACGTAGGCCATATTGCTATCTAATACTAATACTCTGTAATGTAATGTAATAGATGGGGGACTAGATCCCAGAATCTGATGTGTTCCGATATGAACCAATGGCTCCCATGTGTTATGTGTTGTTATTACTTTTCCTGTCTTTGAACTTGATTGATTCTGAACTTTGTAAAGACTTGAGCTGTGACACAAATACAAACATACAATTTAAATGATCCATTATGGGCCTAAACAAGCAACCATATGCCCTTATATAGACATGAGTGTGTATTCGATCAAGTTTGATGTTGAATAAAATGACAAAACAATGCAGAGGTCTGGGTTCATAGACTTAGCTTTGAACCAAACAAATCAAGGACCCTCCTCTCTCTCTGTCACGGCGCCAAAAGATATTAGCTTTGACCTTAGAGCAAAACACCAAGTGGAAAAGTACTGACTCCTGCACTGATGGAACGAAGAGAGAGATCAGAGAGAGAGACCAGAGAAAGAGACCCAAGAGAGAGGCCAGAGAGAGACCAGAAAGTCTCTGTGTAACTCTGTGTTTCTATGTCCAGTCCTCCCTCCAGAGAACGTAGAATTGCTCTGGGCTGGACTCTACCCTGAGCTGTCCTGGACTCCTCCCACAGACTCTGAGGAAAACTGCTCCTACTCCGCCTCCTTCACCGTCAGAGACGGAAATACTGAACATCATCAGGTGAGTTTAACACAGCAGACACTATTTATCCTCTCTTTGCTCTCTCTCTGTCTGCTCTCTCTCTCTCTCTAATCTCTATCTGGTCTCTCTCTCGCTGGTCTCTGTTTGGTCTCTCTCTAGTCTCTCTCGCTCTGGTCTCTCTCGCTCTGGTCTCTCTCTGGTCTCTCTCTGGTTTCTCTTCTCTCCCATCTCTGTCTCTCTTGTCTGCTCTCTCCCCTTTCTCCCCTCTCCTCTCCTCCCCCCTCTCTCCTTCCCCTCTCCCCTCTCTCCTCTCTCTCCTCTCTCTCCTTTCTCTCCTTTCTCCTCTCTCTCCTCTGTCTCCTCTCTCTCCTCTCTCCCCTCTCTCTCTTATATTATTTTTCTTTGTAGGACCTGGGTTCGTCTCCTTTTCAAGTAAAGCGCCCTCTAAACGGAGGTTTCCTAAACGTCTCGATCCAAACTGTTTGTGGCGACAGAGAGAGCGCTCCGGCCTTTGTCTTCTTCCATGATCCAGGTTTGTCTCAGTCTTTGATGTGGATTTCTTCATTTACCATAAAGCTCTCACCTCCTCTCACTGGTCTCTCTCACTGGTCTCTCTCACCTCCTCTCACTGGTCTCTCTCACTGGTCTCTCTCACTGGTCTCTCTCACCTCCTCTCACTGCTTTTCAGATTTACCGTTGTCTTGTTTGCGGAAGTCCAGGAAAATCATCCACTGCTCCTGGAAGTCAGACCCCTCTGCACACATTAGACTCTTCTACAGGTATGTGTGAGAGACCAGAGAGAGACCAGAGAGAGACCAGAGAGAGACCAGAGAGAGACCAGAGAGAGACCAGAGAGAGACCAGAGAGAGACCAGAGAGAGACCAGAGAGAGACCAGAGAGAGAGACCAGAGAGAGAGACCCGAGTTTTGTATTAAGTCTCAGTTCCTTATTTTTAACCCTTGAACTTGTCGCTCCCTGAGAAACCCTCAGCGCCGGCTCTGGGCAGAGGCAAGTTTATTTGCCTCTGCCCAGAGTAAAATAATGTAAACAACCCAGAGCTGTGATTACAATCAAAGTGTGAGTTTATTCATCAGTAAATGAATAACAGATGAATAACAGAACAGATACCAATACCACCGAGCAGCCGTCTGAAACCAACTACCACGAAAGAGGAAATGACATTAAACAGACCAGAGTAAACAAACACTGATCTACTCTAGATATTACATAAATTAAGTCAACATTGATACGTGTTGCTCAAGACTTCTCTTTGAAATTTCTTACACTGATACAACTCTGATATATGTAACAATCTTCTTTTGACCTGAACAAATTGTTCTATGACCCAGATGAGGTCTCCATCTATCACTGACCTGCTGCCAACAGAGCATTATGGCCTGTATCTGAATCCAGAGTTGAGGAGTAATAACTAATTAGTATTTAATAACTTGCACTAATAACTATTTGGTGTTAATTCACATTGTTTAACTAAAGGATTTCTATAACAATACACAATGCACCTCCAAAGTCCTGAACAAAACAAGATAGAAACATTTAATCTCGTAGAACCCAGACATCAAAATATTTGTTGAAATAAGTCATCCGTGCTTCTAAAAGTCAGACTTCCATAGACATAACACAAGGCATTTTATCATTGGCAGGTGATCAGAGTAGAAGCCTGTCTCACCTTTTCAGGAATATTGTTCCAGATTTTAGCTGCATGAAATGCAGCCTTCCCATGTTTAGTCCTGACTCTGGGACCAGCAGGAGACCAGTCCCTGTGCTCCTCAGAGTCCCAGAAGGAGGCACTAAACTGGATATAAAACTACTTGAATTTGAAAAGAACTTGTTTAAAATGAATGAAAATATTGGTTGAAGGTTTCTAACGGGTTCTTCTCTTGATGTTTTACTGCTCTTTGATCCAGCTCAAAATAACAGCCTCTAACTCTTCATCTTGTTGCAGTTTCCCAGTGTCTGACGATGACATGGCTCCGTTACGAGAGTGTCCGGACTACAACGAGCAGAACGAGTGTGAGCTGCCTCAGGAGAGACTGAACGAGCAGCTCAACGTGATCCTGAACGGGACGTACAACAACAGGACCGTGACCAACAACCACGAGATCATCAACCTCAAATGTGAGGGCGCAGAGAGAGCGCAGAGAGAGACCAGAGAGAGCGCAGAGAGAGCGCAGAGAGAGCGCAGAGAGAGACCAGAGAGAGACCAGAGAGAGACCAGAGGGAGACCAGAGGGAGCGCAGAGAGAGCGCAGAGAGAGATCAGAGGGAGACCAGAGAGAGACCAGAGAGAGACCAGAGAGAGACCAGAGAGAGACCAGAGAGAGACCAGAGAGAGACCAGAGAGAGACCAGAGGGAGACCAGAGAGAGCGCAGAGAGAGCGCAGAGAGAGACCAGAGGGAGACCAGAGGGAGACCAGAGGGAGACCAGAGAGAGACCAGAGAGAGACCAGAGAGAGACCAGAGAGAGACCAGAGGGAGACCAGAGAGAGACCAGAGAGAGACCAGAGAGAGACCAGAGAGAGACCAGAGGGAGACCAGAGGGAGACCAGAGGGAGACCAGAGGGAGACCAGAGGGAGACCAGAGGGAGACCAGAGGGAGACGTGTATCGTCTTGTGTTCAGGAAACGTGGTGAAATACATCCTTCCCATCTCACTTTCCCAGTATTGTTTTAAAGTCTGTGAACAATGAGAGAGAACCCTGGGTCTCTCTCTCCCACAGTCAGTCTCTCTCCTCTGACTGTACTCTCTCTCCACAGGGGGTCTCTCTCCTCTCACAGTCCTCTCTCTCCACAGGGGGTCTCTCTCCTCTCACAGTCCTCTCTCTCCACAGGGGGTCTCTCTCCTCTGACAGTACTCTCTCTCCACAGTAGTCTCTCTCCTCTGACAGTACTCTCTCTCCACAGTAGTCTCTCCTCTCACAGTACTCTCTCTCCTCTCACTGTACTCTCTCTCCACAGGGGGTCTCTCTTCTCTGACAGTGCTCTCTCCACAGGGAGTCTCTCTCCTCTCACAGTCCTCTCTCTCCACAGGGGATCTCACTCCTCTCACAGTACTCTCTCTCCACAGGGGATCTCACTCCTCTCACGGTACTCTCTCTCCACAGGGGATCTCACTCCTCTCACAGTACTCTCTCTCCACAGGGGATCTCACTCCTCTCACAGTACTCTCTCTCCACAGGGGATCTCACTCCTCTCACAGTACTCTCTCTCCACAGGGGGTCTCTCTCTTCTGACTGTACTCTCTCCACAGTAATCTCTCTCCTCTCACGGTACTCTCTCTCCACAGGGGGTCTCTCTCCTCTGGCTGTACTCTCTCCACAGTAATCTCTCTCCTCTCACAGTACTCTCTCTCCACAGGGGGTCTCTCTCCTCTCTCCTCTCACGGTACTCTCTCTCCACAGGAGGTCTCTCTCCTCACAGTACTCTCTCTCCACAGGGGATCTCACTCCTCTCACAGTACTCTCTCTCCACAGGGGGTCTCTCTCCTCTGACTGTACTCTCTCCACAGTAATCTCTCTCCTCTCACAGTACTCTCTCTCCACAGGGGGTCTCTCTCCTCTCTCCTCTCACGGTACTCTCTCCACAGGGGGTCTCTCTCCTCTCACAGTACTCTCTCTCCACAGGGGTTCTCTCTCCTCTGACCTGGAACATCACAGCCTCCTCAGACCAGTTTGTCATCAGCTGGAGGCCTCCTTCAGGGTTCGACCGTTTCTCCTGGAAATACTTCCTCAGATTCACGGCCTGTGCAGACACTGAGGTGAACATGTGACATCACTCGGTCTCTCATTATATTGTAATTCATATCTTTAGCCTCTTTACAAAAAGGTCCTGGGTTTGCATGTTCTTCCTGTTTCTCCGATGGCTTCCTCTGCCAGTAAAAGAACCTACTGTATGCCTTCCCGTCTGCTTCAAACTTATAAATAGATGTAGTTTGTTTTTCTCTGCTCTCTCTCCCCTCTCTCCCCTCTCTCCCCTCTCTCCCCTCTCTCCTTGCTCTCCACTCTCCCCTCTCCTCTTTCTCCTCTCTCCTCTCAACTCCCTCCTCTCTTCCCTCTCTCCTCTTTCCCCTCTCCTCTCTCCTCATTTCTTTGCTCTCGGCTCCTCCCCCACTCTGCTCTGGGGTCAATGTAACATAGAGCATTGATTCTAGGATCAAACTCCACTGAGATGTTCCCAAACCACCCACTAACCCAATCCAAACATATTTCCACATACTCTCCCTCACTCTCCCCCTTTCCCTCTCATTCTCCTTCTCCCTCTCCCCCTTTCCCTATCACTCTCCCTCTCCCTCTTTCTCTCTCTCCCTCTCTCTCCCTCTCTCCCTAAAGCAGATTCTTTAGGCCTGCTACGTGTCGGGTCAAGTCAGTGACAAAGTGCCTTAAGATTCTTCCATTGTGTGTGTGGGTGTGGGGGTGTGGGTGGGTGTGGGCGTGTGGGGGTGTAGGTGTACTGTGTGTGTGTGTGTGTGTGTAGGTGTATTTTATGTATACAGTACCTTGCGAAAGTATTCGGCCCCCTTGAACCTTTCAACATGTCGCCACATTTCAGGCTTCAAACATAAAGATATAAAACATTATTTTTTTGTCAAGAATCAACAACAAGTGGGACACAATCGTGAAGTGGAACGAAATTTATTGGATTATTTAAACTTTTTTAACAAATAAAAAACTGAAAAGTGGGGCGTGCAATATTATTCGGCCCCCTTGCGCTAATACTTTGTAGCGCCACCTTTTGCTGCAATTACAGTTGCAAGTCGCTTGGGGTATGTCTTTATCAGTTTTGCACATCGAGAGACTGGAATTCTTGCCCATTCTTCCTTGCAAAATAGCTCGAGCTCAGTGAGGTTGGATGGAGAGCGTTTGTGAACAGCAGTCTTCAGCTCTTTCCACAGATTCTCGATTGGCTTCAGGTCTGGACTTTGACTTGGCCATTCTAACACCTGGATACGTCTATTTGTGAACCATTCCATTGTAGATTTGGCTTTATGTTTTGGATCATTGTCCTGTTGGAAGATAAATCTCCGTCCCAGTCTCAGGTCTTTTACAGACTCCAACAGGTTTTCTTCCAGAATGGTCCTGTATTTGGCTCCATCCATCTTCCCATCAATTTTAGCCATCTTCCCTGTCCCTGCTGAAGAAAAGCAGGCCCAAACCATGATGCTGCCACCACCATGTTTGACAGTGGGGATGGTGTGTTCAGGGTGATGAGCTGTGTTGCTTTTACGCCAAACATATCGTTTTGCATTGTGGCCAAAAAGTTTGATTTTGGTTTCATCTGACCAGAGCACCTTCTTCCACATGTTTGGTGTGTCTCCCAGGTGGCTTGTGGCAAACTTTAAACGAGACTTTTATGGATATCTTTGAGAAATGGCTTTCTTCTTGCCACTCTTCCATAAAGGCCAGATTTGTGCAGTGCACGACTGATTGTTGTCCTATGGACAGACTCTCCCACCTCAGCTGTAGTTATCTGCAGTTCATCCAGAGTGATCATGGGCCTCTTGGCTGCATCTCTGATCAGTCTTCTCCTTGTTTGAGATGAAAGTTTGGAGGGACGGCCGGGTCTTGGTAGATTTGCAGTGGTCTGATACTCCTTCCATTTCAATATAATTGCTTGCACAGTGCTCCTTGAGATGTTTAAAGCTTGGGAAATCTTTTTGTATCCAAATGCAGCTTTAAACTTCTCCACAACAGTATCTCGGACCTGCCTGGTGTGTTCCTTTGTCTTCATGGTTCTCTCTGCGCTTTAAACAGAACCCTGAGACTATCAAAGAGCAGGTGCATTTATACGGAGACTTGATTACACACAGGTGCATTCTATTTATCATCATCAGTCATTTAGGAAAACATTGGATCATTCAAAGATCCTCACTGAACTTCTGGAGTGAGTTTGCTGCACTGAAAGTAAAGGGGCCGAATAATATTGCACGCCCCACTTTTCAGTTTATTTGTTAAAAAAGTTTAAATTATCCAATACATTTTGTTCCACTTCACGATTGTGTCCCACTTGTTGTTGATTCTTGACAAAACATTTAATTTTTATATCTTTATGTTTGAAGCCTGAAATGTGGCGAAAGGTTCAAGGGGTTCAAAGCACTGAATATGCGCTGCTCACAAAAAACACATCCCAGATGTCAATCAATTATGATTTTTTGGATGAGAATCTTTATTCATAGTGTGTTGAGAAAATAACATAAGAATGGTAAATGGAAATCAAATTCTCAGCCCCTGGAGGTCTGAATCCAAAATTATAGTCAAAATCAAAGTGACAAATGAGGTAACTGGTGGATCCAAATTCTGTAGAAATTCCTCAAAATGAGTCTTTATCATCATCAGTAGTGTGTGTGGCCTCCACGTGCCTAAATGCACTCCCTACAACGCCTGGGCATGCTCCTGATGAGACCATGGAGGTCCTCCTGAGGGATCTCCTCCCAGACCTGGGTTAGAGCATCAGTCAGCTCCTGGACAGTCTGTGGTGCGACGTGGTGTTGATGGATGGACCGAGACATGATGTCCCAGATGTGCTCTATTGGGTTTAAGTCTGGGCCAGGCCAGGCCAGTCCAAAACATCAATACCTTCATCATGCAGGAACTGCTGACCCACTCTTGTCACATGTGGCCTGGCATTATCATGCATCAGAAGGAACCCAGGGCCCACAGCACCAGCATATGGTCTTACAATAGGTCTGAGGATCTCATCCCAGTACCCAAGGCCAGTCAGGGAACCTCTGGCTAGCCCATGGAGGGCTGTGCGGCCCTCCAATGAAATGCCTCCCCAGACCATCACTGACCCACCACCAAACCGGTCATGCTGGATGATGTTGCAAGCAGCAGAAGGTTCTCCAGGGCATCTCCAGACTCTGTCACGTCTGTCACATGTGCTCAGGGTGAACCTGCTCTCATCCGTTAAGAGCACAGGGCACCATTGGACAATCTGCCAATCGCTGTGTTCTCGGGCAAATGTCAATCGGGCTGCACGGTGTTGGGCAGTAAGCACCAGCCCAACTTGTGGACGTCGGGCCCTCATACCACCCTCATGGAGTCGGTTTCTGACAGTTTGAGTACCAACATGCACATTTGTGGCCCTCTGGAGGTCATTTTGTAGGGCTCGGGCAGTGCTTCTCCTGTTTCTTTGTGCACAAATGAGCAGATAGCGGTCTTGCTGCTGGGTTGTTGACCTCGGTTGGCCCCCCCAGGTCTCCTGGTGTACTCGCCTGTCTCCTGGTATCTCCTCCATAATCTGGAGACTGCGCTGGGAGACACAGCAAACCTTCTTGCCACAGCACGAATGGACGTGCCATTTTGGATGAGCATCACTCCCTGAGCAACTTCTGTGGGTTGTAGATGCCTCCTCATGATCCCTCTAGTGGTGAGAACACTGGACAAATGGAAAAGTGTTCAACAATACATATAAAATACACATACAAATACACTTGAACATAAATAAAAACAGCTGACACTGTGGCACCGATCGACAAAAAAAACTATACAAGGGGAAAAAGCAGCAATTAAAGTGCTCTGTTTAGGCACCTAACAGCTTGTGGAAAGAAGCTGTTAGCATAGCGAGATGTCTTGCATCTCAGCGAACGATATCTTCTGTCAGAGGGAAGAAGCTGGAACATGGCTTTCCCAGGGTGGCAAGAAGAGTCATTGGTGATTTTAAGAGCTTTGTTTAAAAGTCTGGATTTATAAAGAACCTCCAGAACAGGAAGCTCACAGCCCACGGTCCTCTTTGCAGAGCGGAGCACCTTGTTTAACGCTCTCTTTTCTTTATCTGTGATGTTTCCAAACCACACAGACACAGAACCAACAAGTAAACTCTCAATGGTGCAGCGATAAAAGTTAAGCAGAATCTTAGAGTTAGTGGTAAATTCTCTAAGTTTCTGCAAAAAGAAGAGCCGCTGACGAGCTTTCTTAACAACCCGGTTAGTATTTTTGTCCCATTTCAGGTCGTTTGACAGAGTTAAACCCAGGAACTTGCACTCCTCTACAATCTGTACCTGGGAGTTGTCGATTACGACAGGAGTGTGAGAACTGTTGCGACTGAAGTTAAAAACAAGTTCACATGTTTTTGCTGTGTTCAGCTGAAGATTGTTTACTTTACTCCACTGAAAAACATGTTCAATCTCTGCTCTGTAAAGCCTAGTGTATACTTGCGCGGCGTGGCTTACGTTAGCGGTTGCGGTGGACCTACGTAAGCACAATTGAAGTTCCCCTTACGGAGTTTTGAGGAGAATGTTGTAATCCCACAACAAACCACATGAGGGCAATCACACAGGAGCGGTCCCATTTACGCTGCTACTTTGTCCTCTTCAGAACAATAATAGCAAACAACGCTGTTTGAGCTCATTACACATGTTTCTACTGCAGGTTTATGTGATAGTTTTATGGATTCATTATTTTATAAGTCATTTCAACTGTGATGCTGTGAATAAAGACACAGTTCTTGTTGGAAACATAGTTATTATTAAATAGTTTTCATCACAAACAGCAAAACAATAATAGTGGTAAATATCTGAGACAAACATAAACGATTTACGAGTGCAGGAGGAAAGCAACAAACGCAGGAACAGTGCAAAACAAACGACTGCACAGTTTATAAGTTATATATATGTTAGATATAAGTTATATATATGTTAGATATAAGTTATATATATGTTAGATAGTCCACAGTCTCCTGGATATCAGGCTCTGAGCCCAAACTGCTTTTCCTTCGAAGCACAAAGCTCTCTGCTCCATAGTGCCTCGTCCATGCTCCTGCTGCAGCCGCTTCATGCTTCCTTCCAATACACACACACGGACCAATCACAGCGGAGATTCCTTGCGGCGACCCTTACGTAGTTAGAAACTTTTGATGCTGCGCGGCAGGTAACGTAAGGGCCTTGCGGTGACCAACGCGTTGCGAAAGTGACGTCACCTCCGTAAGCTCGGCGCCGCGCGAGTATAAACTAGGCTTAAGAGGATTCATCATTAGTACTGGTCCTCTCATTTCCACCTGTTGTCTGTTTAATTTCCACAACTGCAGGGGAAATTGATTCTCAATAAGTGTGGCTTCCTAACTGGACAGTCTGACATCCCAGAAATTTTACTGACTTGGAGTTTGTTTTTTGAGTGTGTCCTAAGTTTTTGCTAGCAGTGTATATTAATGATGTATGTTTTAGTTTGACCTTATAACAGTTGAATTGTACAAACCTGATGCTTTGACTTTCACATCAAGACTAAACTTTTTAAACTACATTTGATTCAAAACGGTTAATTTTGTCTTGAGGCCTGATGGTATGAAAAATATCAAAAAAACATCAACTTTATATTTAATTGACAGGAAATCGAAGTGTCAGGCTTGTCCATGACTCTGCGGCGGAGTCCTGAGTGTGCGTACAGCATTTCCATGAGAGCAATCCGAGACCAGAAGGACAACGGATGGACCGAGTGGACTCCGGAAGAAGCCTTTGGTGCGTGAGCCCGGGATACTTTAGTGCGAAAGGAATCATTTCTATTCACTATCGCAATATTTTGCAGTGAAATCAATACAGAAAAGAAAAGTATTGCGATATTTAATAAAAATCATCTGTTTGAGTTTATGATCTACATCTGAGGTTTATGTATGATATTGCTGTTTTAATCACATCTATCTTGACGAAATCACAAAGACAAAAGGCATTGTTCCTGCATTTTTATTCTTGGTTGCTTCCAAGGGGAACTGAGCACAGGTCAGCAGCCTCGTGTCCAGAACATGTCTGACCAGTCAGGCTCAAGGCAGTATCGAGAGAAGATAAGACACACCTCCACTTCCACACAGTCACAGCTTCACAATGAGACCTTTGGTATTTAGTATGTCAATGCAGTTACAGGAAGGAGCCACAGAGAATCAAAGGCTGCGGTCACATGCGCAGCCTAAAGCCCGGTTAAAGTGTGCCAGGGCCCGCTTCGCGATTAGATTTGGGCTTTAGGTGCCATCTGACTGCGGCATTCACGCCAGAGCACGATTCCTGGAGTCGTGCTCTAGCCCGGTTAAAAACTGCGGCCAGGGCCCGCTTCCCAGCGCAGATGAGGGGGGTCAGTGTGGCGGGTGGTGGGGAGTGGGGGATTAGGTGCGGGGAGGACTTGATATTGTGCGTCACATTACGTCTTCCTGTGACACGCATTTTCACACACGTCTCTCCTGCACTTTCGTATTCTCCACTTGTGTTAAACCTTTCATATAAGCCCACGTACTGCGCTGGGGGAGTGTCTCTCTGCAGAGCCAAAGAAAAGCGTTTCCTACGGGTATAGCTTTCTTCTGTCCTGACCGTTATTATTATAGATCCATGGTCCTGACCCTCGCTCTCAGTGTGGTGCTATTGCAATAACACTTCAGACATTCAAGAATCAGTCTTTATTTAATCACCAGAACACACACACACACTTGTAACCTCCCTGTCTGTGGTCGCTCTGCTCATACGCCACACTTTTCATTCATTCATTTCTCAGCGCTCTTATGCTCGTTGCTAAAGAGTGTGTGCGCCGCGGACACACACACACACACAAACACACACGTGTGCACACATTACCCACTGAACTGCTGCACTTTGCATCAGAGCAATGTGGACAAGTGTGAGATGTATCTTTCCCTAAACAACGCGATCCGTACTGAGTTGTTAGCTACAGTAGCTGTAGCTGTTGGCTACAGTAACAGAATGTAAACAGGAAAAGAAGCGGATCTCAACCAGGGAAACGAGATAGTCGCTGGTGTTAGTATTAGCGCCACCAGCTGGACCGAGTGTTGTACTACAGCACAATTTCCCTGGTACGGTTCAGAGAACACGTTCATGTGACCGCGGGCCGTTTTCACACCCCTGTGGCGACAATCCGGGCCACTTGGCCTAATACGTTTGTAAAAACCTATGTGACCGTGCCCAAAGAGACATTCTTACCAGGCCTAGCCTGGGCCATTTGCATACAACCCCCATTGCCCAGAAGACTAGCTGTGAACAGTTAATTACAATTATACAGTATATATTTTAGCCACATGTGATTTACTAAAATTATAACTTAAACAACATTCCAATGACATTTCCCTCCTATTTATAATTTTTATAAATCAAACCATCTATGTTTAAACATGGAGAACATGGATAACTCAAAATGAAAAAAAAAACATCAAAACTAAAAAAAGCAAAGATTTTCATAGTATAATTTCATCTTGTTCCATAAAGCATATTCCCCCTGTTGAAACATACATGGCTCAAAACTAAACAATGTATTAACATAAAATGTGTTAGGAATCAGCCAAAGTCTGGGATCGTGTCTTTAATTCAGACAGAAGACATGTTTTATTGTAGATGGTAGAGCCAGCACGAACACACGAACAAGGAATGTTAGACAGCAAGTGATAATATACTCAGGAGAAACAGAGACCTGTAGAGATTTCATAACACTTTTATGGTGCATTCAGACCAATTGAAGCCCCGCTCACCAGACGCGCATTCTCTAGTTTTCAGACGCAGAGGACTTCACACCAAAACGTCCTGACGCGAGCCGGAAGTACCGGAAGTAGCTGGCTGTCTCTAATGCTAACAGAGCTATGCTAGCGGCTTCTTGTGTACAGATCTTCTCCAATATGCAGCTTTGCAGCGTGTCTTTGAACAGAGACTTTCCACAGGCTTTATATAACAGCAGTATGTGTTCACGGAGGTGCGCCATACGTGTTTTCATATTATTAAATGGCATTTCCGCATTGGCGAACACACTCGAAGCAGTTGCATAAGGTCACGAGAGCATGACAAAGCATATTTTCACAAGCACACAGTCCCCCATTGTCAACCCTGGTTTGAGTTCTGGTGAAGCCTGGTGTGGCGAGTACGAGTATTTTCAGTCTGCTCGCTCAGTCCGCTAATGCCACTTTGCTGCTCTCTGATTGTTTGTCGCACGAACGTCCCAAGTCAAGTCCGTGCGTGTCTACTGAACAGTCCGTCCGTGCGTGCCGAGAGGTCCGTGCGTTGTGATGCTGCAACGCGCGTCACCGTAGACTTTGCATTGAAACCCGACGCAACGCATGATCCGGTCTGAACGCGCCATTAGGTTAACTATGGTTAAAGTTCTTACTTCATTCTTACATATGCAGAAGCCTGTACTTTTCCATTTGATGTTTTGATTTCTGAAGGCCAAGCTACAAGCACACCGTGGCAGCTGCTGATTGGAGGTCTCTGTTTCTCCTGAGTATATTATCACTTGCTTTCTGTAACATCCCTTGTTCGTGTGTTCGTGCGTCTACCATCAACAATAAAACATGTCTTCTGTCTGAATTAAAGACACGATCCCAATAGGGATGTAAATCGGTGACCGTTTAACCGGTGGTTGACTGTCACAGCGTTAACCGGTCAAAAAGGGGAGAGGGGAGGTCTCTTCATAACGCTATTGTAAGCCCTATTCGCACGATGTGACGAGCAGGTCTGTATCTAGCTGTGTGCGCCAATGTATCAGTAAACTCCGGGCCGAGTCTCGCGCCGCACGCGCCACATATGCACGCACACGAACACACGCGCGCACAGACACACACACACAAAGACTCCACACGCATCATCTCTCCCCTCTGTTACCGCCTGCTAGTTGCACACTGGTGCAGGTCAGAACTACATTGAAGCTTATATTTACACACACATACATATACACACACATGTATTGTACACACACATGTATTGTACACACACGTACCGGTCTGTCGCGCTCCTCTGTGTCACACAGCCCGAAGGATCCGCGGCTCCAGTCAAACCAAATGAAACATGTTTGTGTTTATGGTCCTTGTCATTAGATCAGCTCCACACACATCACTGTATTTAAACTTTAGCGGAGACCTGCGAGACGCTAACCTGGCAAGAGCCAGATTGATGATTGTGTAGAACTCTAACGCGTTCTCCGCGATATCAATCTGGGATTTCTCACGGAGAATCCTTTCGGGGAAAGGAGGGATAAGCAGCAGAATACTTGAAGCTGATTGGGCGAAGTGACGCTGTGTGCCCGCCTACCAAGGTTTGACTTACGTAGGTAAAAATGCACAAACATCTTTGCCGTCCAGAAATGCACAAAGCGCCTCTCGCTGTTTATCTTTCAAAAAAGAAATTGGAGATTCTGCTAAAACTGACTTGATAGCCTCAGCTACGCGTCCGTCCTCCTGCGTAGCCATGTTTGTTTTGCTTCGGCCCGGCAATTCTTGCTTTCGTCAAACCCGGATATCCCGCCCTAAACCCCCAGACTGGCGCGTGATTGGCTCGCACACCCAGTGGTTCGACTCAAAAAGTGTAAGCGGGAGCGGTACAAGATGTATTCTCGAGTGTTTGTGAACTCACAAATACCGCGAGAATTCAGCTTGCAGGCAAGGTTAGCGAGACGCGGCTCATCACTCGCTGCTCTGACCCTGTGGACGAGCCGTCTTTTGCTTAAAAAAGCGTTAAACCGCAGCACAGCAGAATGGGAAGAATAAAAAAGCAGTTCTCTGTGCGCAAAGGTGCCGAAGCTGTTGCGGGTTTTGGCGCCGCTGTCTCGGCTCTGATCCAGTAGAACGCATAGCTGCTCTTATGGAAAGTACGCGGCTCAAAATGGCTGTTATTTCAAAGAACGTGGAATATTTAAAACTACGCGGTTAACCGGTTATTGAGGCTCGGTGGTCGGTCATGAAAATTCATAGTTTTTTACATCCCTAGATCCCAGACTTTGGCTGATTCCTAACAGACCTCCAATCAGCAGCTGCCACGGTGTGCTTGTAGCTTGGCCTTCAGATAGACAAAACATCAAGTGGAAAAGTACAGGCTTCTGCATATGTAAGAATGAAGTTAGAACTTTAACAATAGTTGCTTGAAAGTGTTATGAAATCACTACAAATGTATTAACTTTGGTTATCAATTTCAACACCGCGCACACGCCAAAGCCGAAAAACCCAAAGTCCATTTTCACAGTCCATTTAACCCTAGCCCAACGTCCATATTTGACACTTCCTCTCAACCCCCTCTTCAATATGTGGAAATGACCAGAAATGTTCACTCTGTTCCTGTTTCGAAACTCTTCTCTGTCTGCATTTCCGACGCCAGACCAGTAGCAAGCCGTTCTCCAACAGAGACACAAAGCTGAACTTCCAGTTCGTAAATGTCCGAAAATGTAGCCTTCAATTTATCACGTCCATTTCAACTCAAAACAAACAGCCGGCGCCTTCTTGGCCTGCGCTTTTGATCTCCTACTTGCGGTGGGGTGGGGGGTCGTCTCGTAGGTGGTCCTGTATGGAGATAGCGATGGCGTGGGGGTGGTGTTCTCACCACACAATGGAACAAGGATGGACTGTTTCAAAACTCTGGCAGTGGTGATGCATTTTTCTCAAAAAACAAAAAGCACGTTTCGTAATACATTTTAAAATCAAAACCAAGAAACAGTTTCAAAGTTTCACAGTGACTTTTAAAACAAGTATTCTAAACCTGGTGTTAAACTATTTATTCAAATTAACTTGTTTACCCAAAAACTTTAAATCTCGCTGAAGAATAAAATTTTATTTTCTAGTTAGTGAGTTTGTTTTGTCAGTTTAATTTGAGCTTAAACGGACAAACACTTAAAGCTGCACTAACTGACTTTGGGATTTTGAAGCAGCAGACTCGCTGGCCTCTCTCTTTCTGCTCCGCTCCCCACACCCACAAAGTTATCGCCCCCCACACACACCGACTGTTGGGACGGAGCTAGCGTCTCCCAATATGGATAATACATGAATATGGATTTGCACGTGGATGGCGTGACCATAAAACGATAGAACCGGGAAGCGCGGAGGAACGGGACTTTCTTTTGGATGGCTGTTTCGCTGTGTAAGCAGTAACCGGTGACGAAGACACACGAAGCTTCAGGTTAGCTCCGCCACTTGTTGTGCTAACTCAGCTGTCTATGCTAACGGACCTGTAGATTTTTCACGAAAGTGGGGGCTAGTGGTTCGCTGTGATTGGTCACAATCAGAGACCCGAAACACATTCTCTTCCTTGTTTCATCAAATTCGATCTAAAATATAATGTCACGGCAGCACAAATCTGCGCTACTTTTTCTTCAAAAGGACGTATATTCCAATAGAATCTCTATTCACATCATGTCCCAGTAGCACACAGTGTAATGAGGCTGTTTGTTTGGATGCAGAGGCCGTCTCCAGCTTTAACCCCATGGTGTTGGCGACGGTTCTGGTCCCGCTGGTCCTCATGGTGCTGGTGGTTCTGTTCTTGGCCTGGTGCATCAGGTTTGTCAACGTCACAAAGATCTCTCTCACACACTGTCACTTTATCGACATGTTATCGGGCTCTATAGAACTTTACTTTACTGAGCAGGTTATTGTCAAATAGAAAAATACAATTAGATGGACACATGACATTTACCACCCAGTCCCATTCTTCACTATCTCTCTACACGTACATGCATGTAAACATACACACATGCACACGCATGCACACGCTCTCACACACAAAATTAATAAAAAACCAAAATAAACGTTTGTATGAAACCTCAACAACACTTCCACTGTGTCCATCTTTGTTTCAGGAACAAGAAGAGGGTTTTCCCCAAAGTGCCGCAGCCAAATCCAGAACTGTTTAAAGATATTTTAAACAATAACAACAAGGTGAGTCTGGGCTGTGATTTGGTGGAGGGGAGAAAAGAGTGAGGAGAGGGGGAGAGGAGAGGAGTGTGGAGAGGGGGGAGAAGAAAGAGGAGAGTGGTAAGAGGGAAAGAGGGGGAGGAGAGGAGTGTGGAGAGGGAGGAGAGAGGAGTAATAAAAGTGAGGGGTGAGAAGAGTGAGTAATAAGAGTTAGGGGTGAGAGAGGAGAGGAGTGAGATCGCGTCTTTAATTCAGACAGAAGACATGTTTTATTGTCGATGGTAGAGACAGCACGAACACAGATACAACAGAATGCAAGTGTATTATACAGAGCGGAGGCATGGAGACCTCCAATCAGCAGCTGCCACAGTGCCATGTAGCTTGGCCTTCAGATAGACACAACAAGGGAAAAGTACTGGCTTCTGCACATTGATAGAATGATGAGTTTAACTTTAAAAGTTGCTTAAAAGAAATCTCACAAAGTAAGAAGAAACAGGAGGAGAGGGGGAAAGAGGAGTGAGAAGTAGATAGAGGAGCGAGGAGAAAGAAATGAGAGAGTGGGGAGAGGAGAGAGAGAGAAGGGGACTGAGAGGGGAGACAGGAGAGAAGAGTCCTACATATTCTACTGTTTACTTTTGTTACAAGTACAGAAGTTATTTAAGACATATTTTTGACTTTCTTTTAGTTTCACAAACAAAAACCAAGAACCTGTATCTACTTTTTATTCTTGTGTTCTGCAGATGCACATGCCGGACTTTTATTTACCAAAGGTGGATGAGGAATGTCAGGTGACTCTGGTGGATCCCGGTCTGATCAAGTCTCAGCTTTAGTCCCAGAGAAGGTCCTGGACTGGAACCAAACCTCTGCTGCTGGTGTTTGGACGAGACGGAGCTGGCGCTGGACCAGGCTGGGTCCAGGAGAGAAACCCCACAGCTTTGTACAGGAAGCACTTTTCAGAGATGGAGAGAGGGGAGAGAGAAAAGGAGAGAGGGGAGAGAGGAGAGGGAAGGTGAGGGAGGAGAGGAGAGATGAGAGAGGGAAGAGGAGAGGAGAGGAGAAGAGACGGGAGGGGAGAATGCACTTTCCAAAGATGTAGAGGGGAGGAGAGAGGAAATGGGAGAAAGGAGAGGAGAGGGTATAAGAGAGAGGGAAGGGGAGGGAAGAAGGAGAGAGGGAAGCGGAGAGGAGAATGCACTTTCCAGAGATGGAGAGAGGGGAGAGGGGGAAGGGATAGACACTCTGTGTGGAGTGAGAGGACAAGTGCCCAAAAATAACAATTGTAAACCGCTTTGTGACTCTGGTCTGTGAAAGGCGGTGTATAAATAAAACTTACTTACTTGGATTGCTGCTGACTTTCACATAAATCACACAAACTGTCATTGATAAATCTGACCCTGGATCTGTGAAGCTGTGTTTGAAAGATTGAAGACTTTAATTTTATATATAGCATCCTTTACATACAGCTGTGTTTGTGTATATTTGTGTGTATATTTGAGTGTATAATTGTGTGTATATTTGTGTAACTCACTGGATCCATGTGTGTTAGTTTTCCACAGTTAATTTTGCAGAAGGTTCTTCGTAAACACAGGGTTTGTCAGGACGTGATGCAACTTCCTGTTTTGAATAAATGATAAAACATCTGTGAAAAACATGATTCTATGTCTTTTCTTTGTTTCTGTAAATGACGTGATGAGCTTTGTTTTCACACCAATGGAAGGATAATGTGTTGATGATGTTGTTTTCTTTTTCAACAAAAACACTTCACAGAACGGAGAGAGAGAGGGGGTGAGACGATATGGGGAGTGAGGAGAGGGCGGTGAGAAGAGGGAAAGAGGAGTGAGAAGAGGGGAGGGGGGGGGGGGTAGAGGAGTGTGAAGTGGGAGAGAGGAGGAAGGAGAGATGGCGTTCAAAGTTTCCGCACATGTCAATATTCAGTCACACCAAACACAGTCGTGATGAACCACTAAATCAGGGTCGGACCCAGAGCTGGAAAGTCAGGAAAAATCAACAAAATTCAGCTCGAGAAAAAAATCTCTATAGAGCGATTTTTAATTAACAGGTCAATTTTACTCGAGTACAGCACAAGGTTAAAGAAGGAGCTGTCTCTGTCCTTTCCACTTTTGTAGAAGATGTTTTTTAGCAGTAATTATTTATGACCTGAGGCTTCGTGCTGCAGTGTTGAAAAATAATCCAAATATTATGAGTGGATTTGTAGCTGTTTCCACTTTCATCAGACAAATACTTGAAAATCCTGAATATTTGGACAAAGTGCATAACGATGAAGCAATACACTGTACCTCCATCTACTGAACATTCCTCACACATGGATGAATACTGTGGTGTGGTTTTAAATTAAATATTGTAAGATTCGTTGTAGATTCGTGGATTTTGCATCTCCCACAATTTACACGGTCAAAGACTTTGTCCTTCCTGTTCCTCTTTTCTATTTTCGTGACGGTGGCAACATTGCAGCCGATTTGTAAATGTGCCGTGAAATGACAAAACCTTGAAGAGTGTGAGAGAAGGGTGAGAGGGGGAGAGAAAGGGGGAGAGAGAGAGGAGAAAGGAGAGGGGGAGGTGGGGGGAGATGATGCAACCCTCAGTAACCTCTCTGTCAGTATAGAGTCAGAGCGGCTGGTCTCTGTGGTCTCTATGTGGTCTTTGTGGTCTCTATGTGGTCTCTGTGGTCTATGTGGTCTATGTGGTCTATGTGGTCTCTATGGTCTCTGTGGTCTCTGTGGTCTCTGTGGTCTCTGTGGTCTCTGTGGTCTCTGTGGACTCTGTGGTCTCTATGTGGTCTCTGTGGTCTCTGTGGACTCTGTGGTCTCTGTGGTCTCTGTGGTCTCTGTGGACTCTGTGGTCTCTGTGGTCTCTGTGGACTCTGTGGTCTCTGTGGACTCTGTGGACTCTGTGGTCTCTGTGGACTCTGTGGTCTCTGTGGTCTCTGTGGTCTCTGTGGTCTCTGTGGTCTCTGTGGTCTCTGTGGTCTATGTGGTCTCTATCGTCTCTATGTGGTCTCTGTGGTCTCATGTTCTCACCTTTGGGATTACCTATGGGGCGGTCCTGTCCCTCAGGTTGAGAACCACAGTGACTTTCAAAAGTGTTTATCGCTGTAAACCTTCCACATTTTATCTCAGTCATGACCTCATTAAGGTACATGTTAGACATCTTAAGATTCTGAACGACTGTGACAAACAATTGTGAAGAAACGCAAAGCACGAAACGTGCCACTCACAAGACACCACACTACACAAACTTTACCTTTTACACACAACTGACACACACCTACAACACCCTGACAACACCTCCTTCACACACACCTACACACATAATACCTGTAACAGCGTTACGTGTATTCCGTTACTCTCAACATTGCATACGGTGAAGGACTTGCTATATAATTACAGTGGGGCAAAAAAGTTTTTAGTCATGCCACAGATTGTGCAAGTTTTCCCACTTTAAAATAATGACAGGTCAACCAGACTTTCAACTCCCTCCACAGCTTTCACTGGGGTTGGGTCTGGGGACTGGCTTAGGCCACTCCAGGCTTCAAATGCTTCGTACTGGAGCACACTCCTTCGTTGACCGGGGGTGTGTTTGGCGATCCATTGTCATGCTGGATGACCCAGCCACGTTTCTCTTCAAAGCTACTCATGATGCGAAGGAGTTTTGGCTCAAAAATCTCACGATACATGGCCCCATTTCATTCAGGATCAGTAGTCCCGTCCCCTTAGCAGAAAAACGGCCCCAAAGCATGACGTTTCACCCCATGCATCACAGTAGGTTTGGTGTACTTTGGGATGCATCAGTATTTTCTCCTCCAAACACAACGAGTTGCGTTTATTACCAAAGTTCTACTTTGGTTTCATCTGACCTATGGACATTCTCCAATCCCTCGGCTGTATATCATCCATGTGCTCTCTGGCAAACTTCAGACGGACTGGACATGCACTGGCTTCAGCAGGGGACACGTCTGGCCCTGCAGGATTTGATTCCCTGTCGTCGTAGTGTGATACTGATGGTACCTTTGGTTACTTTGGTTCCCAGCTCTCTGCAGGTCATTCACAGGTCCCCCGTGTCGGTTTGGGATTTTTGATCACGTTCTCTTGATCATTTTGACCCACGCGGATGAGATCTTGCGTGAAGAAAAAAAAAAAAAAAAACAAAAAACCCCAGATCGGAGGAGATTATCATGGTCTTGTATGTCTTCTCATTTTAGATAATTGCTCCCCAGTTGATTTGTTCCACCACGCTGCTTGCCTATTGTAGAGGTCCCCAATCTTCCCTGTCTGGTGCAGGTTCTACACTTCTTTATCCTGGTGTGCCTTCGTCAGCTCTTTGGTCTTGGGCCCTAGTGGAGTTTGGAGTCTCCGACTGTTTGAGGCTGTGGACAGGTGTCTTTATACAGATAACGAGTTCACAACAGGTGCCATTAATCACGGTACGATGGAGGGGACGAAGAGTTCTTAAAGAGAAGTTAAAGGTCTTTGAGAGCCAGAAATGCTTCCCTGTTGACAGTGCCCAATACTTATTTCCCATATTTTACAAATAAATCTTTAAAAACTCCTAATGGTGAATTCATGGATTTTTTTTTTTCACAATCTGTTCTCGTTGAAGTGTACCTATGATGAAATTACAGGACCTCTCGTCATTAGTTTAAGTGGGAGAACTTGCACAATCGTGGGCTGCCTAAATACTTTTTAGCACCACTGTATCATATTGATATAATGCTCATATTTGTTTCCTCCCAGGTTTCTTTTAAACAAGTTCCTGTCGAAGCACGAAAAGGCCTGTTATTGACAGCTGAGTAGAACAACATGGATCCCATGGCACGTCAAAGACGACGTGAACAGAGAGGCAGTTGAGAGAGATTTCCAAGAGCCACCACAAAGTCATCCAAACGCTCTGCCATCTATAGCACCACATCCCCTCTCAAGTGACACGCCATAAATTGAGCAAAGAGTCGAGTGTCCAACCCAGCCCACCGTGCCAAGAGAGAACCGAGCGCAGGATTGGACCGCCACAGTTCTGGAGCTGCTGTGTTACAGAACAACGATTCACCTTTTACAGCAAACCCACGCCGCCACTGGTGCACAAGCCCCCCAGGATGTTTTTATTCAAATGTTTGCTGAATGTGATGTTTGAGGAAAAAAGATGTACTGGAGGAGATGCACTGGGTCGCGGGTCCGACATAAGACTAATGAACCAACTCTGCACGGTTCCTCATGAACTCTCTGCTGAGGTCTATCGCAGTGTGACCCGCTTTCAACATTAGTTTCATTCTTTTTTTCAAGTTGAATTTTCCTGTTTTTTCTTAGAATTTTGCAGTTAATAAACTGAAACTCAAAGGGGACTTCATCATTTACCTGACTGTAACACACTGTAAAGCCACAGAGGGGCCACCCACTTTTATTTTTTCCTGATTCAAACCACCTTGTAGTCAATTTACTGGGAAATCACTAAATTGTAACTATGTCTGACAAGTTACTATTATGTCACATTTTTTTTATCCTTTATTACAATATTACTGCGCGTGGGTTATACTGCTCACACTACGTGTTCGTGTTATCTTGGTTTTGGTTCACGTATTTCAGGGCAGAAACATCTATAGTCACACACAAATAAACACTGTATTTTTTTGTTTCCCGCCTTCTCTACATGAATTATTAGAAACACGGAGGGGAAAATGACTGGACTAAACTGGACATAACTTTAAAACTCAGTCTTTTACATATTGAAGTTAAAATTCTGAGTCCTTTTAATAGGGACAGGAAATCTTACGTTACTTGTGATATGTACTCTCAACTCTTGAATTTTGTTTATTTACAACTCTATCCACACGTCTTTTATGATTAATTCGCATGCTCACTAGAAGAAGTGAAATAACGTGCATTTTATGTACATAGTTGTATTTCAGTAACATGTTTCCAGAGGTCCGTTCTGGGCCATGGAATGCATTATATCAAAATCTAATCTACCTATATCTATATTAGTATTTTATATAATATATTCTTATTTATATAATATATTTTGGTATTTATCTATATTTTTATTATTTATATATATTTTAAATATTATTTTTACTATATTATATATTATTAATATTATATATAAATAATATTATCGTATAACTATATATATATAATACTTATTATTATACTTTATATATATAATCTATTCTATAGATTTTTATTTTTTTAGTGGGGATAGCTGTATCATCTGTTTTTTCCCTTTTATATTGTGACTCAAAATAAAATCTGTTTACTAGGCATGTGGCGACTGCGACTATGCAATTAAATGAGCGACATGTTTGATGGGCCCTGGTATAGGATACTAGACGCAGCTGATTGGTCGCGATTTTCTAGTTTGTGACCTCCCTTTACAATGGCAATAAAAAAGAAATGATTCATTGTAACTTGCCAAGTATTCTTGCTCCAGTTTGTTTCACTTCGTCCCCTTTAGCGCATGGTTAGTGTGAGAGGGTGGAGCTCTCAGACGCTGCTTTGGAACATAAACCCCTATCTGTTCCTCGTCTCCTGTGCTGTACTACATTAAAGCGCCATCTTGCTTGTAGGGCTAGTAAGTGGTGGGAGTTTCTGCTTCTGGCGGGGGTGTCCTATTAATCTATGGCCAATTTCAGACTGGGAAACCTCTCCCTGTAATACTCGGGCGCAGTTCGCGTTTGTGCTTGTCTTTCTCGCGGTTTTAAAATTACATGTTCGGGCATGAGATTCGCAACGCTCCTGGAGGCGGCCAAGTTTTTCGAATTACAAGCTCTGCAACAGAAAGCACGTGGTAAGTGGCACATACACGATTACTTGATACTCAAACAGGAGTGATTCGATACAGAGGTGAAACTTGTGGTCAGAATAGGACTGTTTCTCTGCCAACATGTGCATTACGAGACTGCACATACATTACATAGCTTTAACAAACGGATTCCATGCTGTTATTGTGTAACTTTGTTGTGTCAGCTGCCGCGCATGTTTAGGTCGGTTCCTCCCTTGTATTACTGCTTAAGATGTTCGATTCTGCCCAAGTTTGTGAAGTTCTTGGACCTTTGAATCAGAAGCTGGTTGCTCAGTTCGCACACCAAGGCCTTTAGTGTTCCATTAACCGACTTCTATGCACCACTATGCGAGTAAAAACAAAAGGCAGAGGACCCTGCTTGCTGCATTCAACTTTGAGAATATAGATATGATGAATCGGGCGGTGGCGCGGGGGAAGCCTTTTACATAAGGGACTTGACATTTGACCACCGTAGCTATGCGCGTGGGCTGTGTTGAGATCTGTGTGCTAAATGTGCACCACTGTGAGGCATACTGCGGAGTGTTGTGGCAGGAGACGTGTCTGTATATGTATATTTATTTATTTGTCGCACAAGATTTGCGCGTTTTTGTATCTGCGTGACGTCAGCCTCAACCCCGTCCCCTTTTCACCACGTGCGTTCGGACAAACCGCACATCAGAATTGTTTGTAAAGAAGATTCTGCACTCCTATTATTGAGCAGTAGACGGGAAACTCTCTATGCCTCCTTACTGACGTGCTGATTAGTTCAGGACTCACTGTATAACCGTGGGGCAGAATTGTCCTGTTGTTCCGCTTCGCTGTGACGTGCTCAACGTGAGAGCCTCCTACTGCCCCAGAATCTGACGTGTAGCGTAGAGCCGCGCCTCCAGTAGAGAAGGCGAAACTCGGGCACTTTACATTTTGCAGTTATATAATGGGACACAGAAAACCTCATTTGTTTTAACCGAAATGCTGTGGTTCTCTTAAAAAAAAAAGAACCACACGCAGTAGTTTGCATACGCACCAGCAGCCCCCAATGTATCGTCTTAATAATTGACGTTCAGCGATTAAAAATACGAAGTCAGTTTGATAGACAACAACACGCTGGTTGTTTTACCACGTTCATCATGCCACTGACAATGTTGCAGAGGACGAACATTCGTAAGAAAAGCAATAGGAGTTATCCACTTTTCTTGAACCCTGCACTAGTCTATGCACTACACCACCCCCCCTTTTCTCTAACCGCGTCCTATTGTTTTAAACTGGTCTGAAAACACATTGGGATACAAACAAATGGCTGGGATGAAGTTTGGCCTCATGGTGGACTCAATTACTCTTAATTCTACGTGGAAAAACAGTTCTGCCTCAGAGAAAGATCTAAAGCCAACGTTTGGTAACAAATTGGAAGTTATTTTAGCTGGTGTCCTGGGATTTGATCTATTTGACTGTAGATTGATCTTGCAAATGTTTCTGGAAATTATATATAGGGACCTGTAACAAAAGCAAAAAAGCTCTAAAGCGAACCCATTTAAATCCCTCTGCATTTTTTTGGGGAAATTGTGTTGAAACTCCAAAGCTCACAAATAAAGTACAGTCAAACACGATTAGGCGAGTTCAATACTGTTTAAGATGATCTGAAAAAAAGGGGACACATCTTTGTATTTTACTTCTTTCACATCTAAAACCGTAGCTTTGATTTAGATTTATAAAAAATAAATAAATCCTGTGCAGGCACATGGGTGTCAGCGTCCCTGGAAGTAGTTTAGACGCATTACCCACACAGTTATACACTGGAAAACACTGTAACAAATGGTTAATGTGTTTCTTTTGACAGAAGATGAAAATAAGGAACAGTACTCCAAGAGCAAAGGGACCCCTGGAGAAGTTACCAAGTATAGTATAGAACAAAATCCCAGGAGTGCAGTCACAACTTTTGATACGACCCCCAAAGCCACAGCCTCTGTTGCTCTGTGCCTATCCCAGTCACCCTCTACCTGTGGTCACTCCAGTTATGGTGCGTTTACCTATGGCCACGTCACTGCCTCACCTGCGCACCTCTGCCCTCCACAAAGAGAAGAGTTTTCACCCAGGAGCACGACCCTCTTGGCCCACCAGCCCACCTCTGCCCTGGGTTCTGATCATAACCATTCTGCACGACCCATCAACAGCATTCTTTGCTCAAACGGCTAATACTAGTGTTGCAGCAGAGCCTCAGGTCACCGCTTTCCCTGGCTCCATCGTTTCTCCTCAACAGTCTCAGGCATACCTCCTCAGCCCGGCACTTTGCAGCAGCAGGCCCCCATCATGGAACGGATCACCCAACCACAGCTGGCCCCTCGATGAACACAACATTGGACAGTAAAAGGCGTTCCTGGGGGTAGGAAAAAGTCTTTTTAGAACTTTTTGAGCTCTATGAGAATAATAAAAATACATGCTCATATCAAACAATGTGTTTTATGTTACAGGGCAGGTACCAGAGAGGTCCACAACAAACTTGAGACGCACCAGGCTGTAAATTCATGTTTCACCAGTGAGTGCTTGGGGCTCGGCGGGCAATACTAGGCCTGGACCCAGTTCTGATCAACTTTGAAAGCCCTGGGTCGATATGGAGCCATATGAGCCGGTATAGCAGACTGGATTCCAGGCTTCGTATTGCCCCAGCCAAGAACTCATGGTAAAACACTTGTATTCTACTGTTCTTCTCAAGGTTTGTAGTGACCTCTCTGGTACCTTGCCCTTAAACATAAAACACATTTGTTTTGAATATGGCAATGTATTTATTCTCATAGAGCTCAAAAAGTTCTAAAAAAGACATTTTCTAACCCCCGGGGCCACAGGACGCCTTGTACTGTCCAGATGTTGGGAGTCATCGAGGGGGCAGCTTTGTTGGGTGATCCGTTCTATGATGGGGGCCTGCTGCAGCAAGTGCCGGGGCCTGAGGAGGTAGTGGCCTGTGACTGTGAGGGAGAAACCGATGGACGCCAGGGAAGCGGATGAACCTGAGGGCTCTGCTGCTGGAACACTAGGTAATTAGCCGGCTTGAGCAAGAAGTGCTGTTGACGGTCGTGCCAGACAGGGGTTTATGATCAGAACCCACTGGCTCAGAGTGGGCTGGCTGGGCCAAGAGGGTTGCTCCTGGTGAAACTCTTCTTTGTGGAGGGAGAGGTGCGGGCAAGGTGGGAGGCGATTGTGCGTGGCCATAGGTAAAGCTCCATGATGGGAGTGACCAAAGGTAGAGGGTGGGACTGGGATAGGCCCAGAGGCAACAGAGGCTGGTGGCTTCTGGGGGTGATATCAAAGTTGGACGGCACACTCTCTGGGATTTTTGTTCTATTAGCTATCAGCTGGTAACTTCTCTAGGGGTCTTTGGCTCTTGTAGTAGCTTTTTCCATTAATCATCTTCTTTCAAAAGCAAAACATTAACCATTTGTTACAGTTTTTTTCCCGTGTATACCGTGTGGTCAATGGTAACTCTACTTCTGGACTCTGCCACCCAATGTGCTGCACAGGATTTTCTTTTATTTTTTTTTAAATCTAAATAAACTAATGTTAATGTGTGAAAGAATAAAATAAATGATGTGTCCCCCTTTTTTTCAATCAACTTAAACTTTATTGATCTGCCTGTCGAGTTTTTGACTGTACTCTTTATTTGTGAGTTTGGAGTTCAAAACATTTCTCTCTACCAATTTCCCAAAAAAAAAAAAATACAGATGGCTTTTACATGGGTTCTGATATAGAGCTTTTTGCCTTTTGTTACAGGTACCCATATATACTTTCCAGAAATTGTGCAAGATAATTCTACAGTCAAATAGACAAATCCCCAGACAACAGGCTAAAATAACTTCGAATATGTACGCAAACGTTGGCTTTTGATCTTTCTCTGAGCAGACTGTTTCCAACTTAGAATTAGAGTTAAATGAGTCCCACAGGCCAAACTTCAGTCCAGCCATTTGTTTGTATTCTCCAATGTGTCTTCAGACCATTTTAAACCAATTAAGGACGCGTGTTATGAGGGAAAAGGCGTTGGTGTGTGATAGACTAGGCAGGGATTTCAAGAAAGTGGTTAACTCCTATTGCTTTCTTTACGAAGGTAAGTCTCTGCCAACATTGTCAGTGCATGATGAACGAATTAACACAACGCGGGTTGTTGTCTATCAAACTGAACTTCTTATTTTTTTAATCGCTGGAACGTCAATTATTAAGCACTATACTATTTGGGGGCTTGCTGGTGCGTTATGCAACTACCTGCGTGTCGGGTTCTTTTTTTTTTAAGAGAACCACAGATTTCGTTAATAACAAATGAGTTTTCTGTGTCAAATCTATAAACTGCAAATGTAAACAAGTGCCCAGTTTCGCCTTCTTACAGGAGTCGCGCTCTACGGCTACACGTCAGATTCTGGTGGGCAGTAGGAGTCTCACTCGAGCCACGTCTACAGCGAAGGCGAACAACAGGGACTATTCTGCCCACGAGTTAATCAGTAGTCTGAAATAATCCACGATTCAGTAATGAGCATAGAGAGTTTCCGTCTACTGCTCAATAATAGGGAGGGAAGAATCTTCTTTACAACAATCTATGTGCGGGTTGTCCGGAACGAAGTGGTTGAAAGGGGCGGGGATTGAGTGCTGACGTCACGCAGATACACCGCGCTAATTCTTGATGCACAAATAAATAAATAACATATACAGACACGTCTCCTGCCACAACACTCCGCATCATGACTCACAGTGTCGACATTTAGCACACAGGATCCAACACAGCCCACGCCACTATACGTGGTCAAATGTCATGTCTTATGTAACAAGGCATTCCACCGCGCCCACCCGCCCTGGATCATCATATTCTATATTCTCAAAGATGACACTGCAGCACAACGCAGGTGTCCTCTGCCCTTTTGTTTTTACTTCGCCATAGTTGGTGCATAAAAAGGGAGTCGGTTAATGGAACAGCTATATGGCTTGGTGTGCCGAACTCCAGCAGACCAGTTCTGAATCAATGTCCAAAAACTTCAATATTTGGCAGAAACCAAAACCCATCTTAATGCGTACATACAAGGGAGGAACGACCATAAACATCGCGCGACCCTGACCACAACAAAAGTACACAATAACAGCTGGATCCGTTTTTCAAAGCTATGTTATGTATGTACTGTCTAGTAATGCACATGTCGGCAGAGAAACAGTCCTTCTCTGACCCACCAGTTCACTCTGTATCGAAACTCACTCCAGTTTGGAGTATTCAAGTAATCGATGGGCCACATACCACGTGCGTTCTGTTGACGAGCTTGTAAATTCTAAAAAACTTGGCCGCCTCCAGGAGGTCGTTCGAAGCTCATCCATAACCCGACTATGTAGATTGTTAAAACGCGAAGAGAAAAAAAAAAGAAACAAGCACAAACGCGAACTGCGCCCTAGTATTAAAGGAAGGAGACGGTTCCAAGGTATGAAATTGGTAGATGTAATAGGACAACCCCCCAGAGCAAACTCCACCATTCCGTAGCGGCTACAAGCTAGATGGCGATTATGTGTAGTACTAGCACAGGAGATAGGAACAGATGGGTCTTATGTTCTTGCACGCGTCTGGTAAGAGCTCACCCTCTACACACTAAACCATGCGCTAAAAGGGGGTACGATGTGAAACAGTACTGGAGCAAGATTACTTGGCCCATCTTGATCCAATCAATCATTCTTTTTATTGCCATTGTAAAGGGAGGTCACCATACACTAGAAAATTCGCGACAAAATCAGTGAGTCTATATCCTAACCCAGGGGCCCTCAATCATCGTCGCTCAAATTTTCTTGCGCATATTCGCCAGTCGCCACTAAGACCTAGTAAAACAGATTTTATTTTGATAACTTCATAAGAACGGAAAACAGATGTACCAGCTATCCCACACTAAAAAAAAAACTCTATAATAGATTTATATTATATAAGTATAATAATAATATTCTAGTATATATTTACTAATATTTATTATTTCATAATAATAATAAGTTTTTAATATATATCAACTAATAATATTTTATATATATATATTAATAATAAATGTATATATAATAATATCTAAATATATATATATAAATAATATTATATATAGAAATAAAATAATATTATACTACTCCTTTATTATCATAGATTTGATATTACAATTCATCCAATGGGCCCACGGAACGGACTTTGGTAAACCAATGTTACTCTGAATACAAATATGGACATAAATCACGTTATTCTCCTTCCTTCTAGTTGAGTGCATGTCGAATTTAATCATAAAGACGTTGTGGATTAAGTTGTATATAAACCAATATTCAAGTAGTTGTGAGTAACATATCACAAGTAACAGTATATTTCCTATTTTAAAAGGGAAACTCAGTAATTTAACTCCAAAAGTAAAAACGGAGTTATTAAATGATGTCCAGTTAAGTACAGCCTGCTTTTTCCGTTCCGTGTTTCTCCCATCATTCATGTAAGAGGCGGAAACACAAAAATAAAGTGTATTTGAGTGAGAATATAGATGTTTCTGCTCCTGAAAGACAGGTGAACCAAAACGAGATATCTCGAACACGTCATGTGCGTGAGCAGCTATAAACCACTCGCGCTATAGTAATGTCATACAGATATAAAAAATGTACATAATAGGAAACTTGTCAAGGAATCATTACAATTTAGTGATTTACCAGCATTGACTACAAGGAGTTTGAATCAGGAAGAAAATAAAAGTGTGGCCCTCTGTGTGGCTTACTACAGTGTGTTTACAGTCAGGTAAATTGATGAAGTCCTTTGCGTTTCAAGGTTTTTTACTGCAAAAATTTGCTAGAAAAAACATTAAAAGTCGACTTGAAAAACTGATGAAATAAATGTTGACAAGCTGTCACACTGCGATAGACTCAGCTGTGTCGTTCTTGCAGCGAACGTGTGCAGAGTTGGTTTTCATTAGGTCTTTGTCTTGACCCTCGGACCTCATGTGCATTCTCCACCAGTACATCTTTTTCCTCAACTTCACCATACAGCAAACATTTGAATAAAAACGTCCGGCTGCACCAGGGCTGCTGGGTCTTTCTGTTAAAGAGAACCGTTTTCTGTTGCACGACTTCCAGTAACTGTGGCGGTCAAACCGGCGTCGGGTTCTTCTCTTGCCCGGTGGGTGGGTTTGACAACGTCGACTCTTGCTGCATTTATTGGAGTTGTCACTTGTAGAGGAATGTGGTGCCTATAGTAGCGCAGCGTTTTGGAGACTTTGTGTGCTTTGGTAATCTCTCTAACTGCCGTCTCCTGTTCACGTCTGTTCTTTGACGGTACCATGGATCCATGTGTTTCCACAGCTGTCAATAACACTGCTCTTTTCTGCTTACGAACTGGGAACTTGT